CTGAACACCAACACACACCCCTAGACACAACATACACACCTCCTGAATACAACACACACACACACCTGCAGACACAACACACACACCTCCTGAACACCCACACCTCCACGAACCTACACAGACACCAACACACACCCCCCTAGACACCAACACACATCTCATAGACACCACACACACACCTAGACACCTTTACACCCCCTGAACACACACACACCTAGACACACACACACCCTAGAACATAACACCCACCTCCTGACACCAACACACATCTCCTGAACCAACACACACACACCCCTAGACACCAACCCATCTCATAGACATAACACACACCTCCTGATCAACACACACCTACTAGACACCAACACACACACCTACTGAACACAACACACCTCCTGAACACAACACATACCTCCTCAACACAACACACACCTCCTCAACAACACACACCTCTCAACAAACACACCTCCTGAGCGCAACACACACCTGCTCCAGCAACACACACCTTCTCAACACCACACACCTCCTCAACACACGACACACACCTCCTCAACAGCAACACACACCTACTGAACGCACACACACACTACCTGAACACAATACACACCCCCTAGACACACACATCTTCTGAACACAACACACACACACCCCTGACACACACCATACACCTACTGAACACACACCTCCTGAATGCAACACACACCTCCTGGACATAACACACACCTCCTGGACAGAAACACACACCTCCTGAATACCACACCTCCTGAACACCAACACACACCTCCTGGACAGAAACACACACACCTCCAGTACACCACACACCTGCTAGACACCACTACCTGAACCACCAATACACACCCCTAGACACAACACATCTCCTGAACGCAACACATCCCTAGACACCACACACCCCTAGACGCATCACACACCTATAGACACCAACACACACTACCTAAACACAATACACACCTGAACACAACACACATCTCCTGAACACAACACACACCCTAGACATAACACACATCTCCTGAACACACACATCCCCTGAACGCTACACACACCTCCTCAACACCAACACACCTCCTGAATCACAACACACACCTCTGTACCCACACATCTCTGAACGCTACACCCTCCTGAACACAACACCCATCCTGAACGCAACACACATCTCCTGAAGACATCACACATCCCTGATACAACACACACACCTCCTGAACGCTACACACACCTCTAGACACCACACACATCTCCTGAAGACATCACACATCCTAGACATAACACCTCCTCCTGAACGCAACACACACCTCCTAGACACAACACACACCTCCTGAACCTAAACCTCCTCCTAGACACAACACACCTCTGGAGCAACACACACCTCCTAGACACAACACACCTCCTGAACACCAACACACACCCTCTGAACACAACACACACACCTCCCTGAAGACAAACTAACTCATTAGACATTTACAGGCAATTAACATTTAAAACGCATTAGAACACAACAATCACATTTAAATCGCAAGAAAACGTCACATTTAAAACGCAACAGTCATATTTTAAACGTTTGAAACAAAGTTACATTAAAACGCAAGAATTCACTGACAATCCAAAGGACGCAATGGAAACAGCACAACTCTATTACGCTACAGAATGCATAGGCAGAATGCGCGGACACATACAAGGACGCTACAGAACACACAAAAGAACCTTCAGGACGCTACAGAGACACACAAGACACCTCCATGACGCTTCTGAAACACTGAATGCCTTCATGACGCTACAGAACACACAAGACACCTCGGACGCTTCTGGAACACACAAGACACCTTCGCGGCCTTTCTAGAACACAAGACACCTTCAGGACGCTTCACCAAGAACCCACACCAGACACCTTCATGACGCTCAGAACACACAAGACACCTTCGCATTTCTGAGAACACACAGACACCTCCATGACGCTTCTAGAACACACAAGACTTACCTCCAGGACGCTACAGAAACCACAAGAACACCTTCAGGACGCTACCAAGAACACTGAACACCTTCATGACGCTTCACAGAACACACAAAGACACCTCCATGACTACAGAACACACAAGACACTGCCTCCCAGGACGCTACAGAACACACAAAGACACCTTCAGGACGCTTCTAGAACACACCAAAGACACCTTCTTTGACCGCTTGGAGCCACACCGACACCTCCAGGACGCTACAGAACACGAACACCTCCATGACCCGCTACAGAACACAAAGATACCTTCATGACGCTTCTAGAACACACAAAGACACCTCCAGGACCTTTCTAGAACACACAGACACCTTCATGACCTTCTAGAACCCCACAAGACACCTTCAGGACATACAGAACACAAGACATACCTTCCATGACGCTACCAGAACCTACAGACACCTTCAGGACCGCTTCTAGAACACACAAAGACACCTTCAGGTTAACCATGAAACACACAAGACACCTTCAGGACGCTACAGAACACACAAAGACACCTTCAGGACATAGAACACACAAAGACACCTTCAGGACGCTACAATTACAAGAACACCTCCATGACGCTACAGAACACACAAGATACCTTCATGACGCTACAAAACTTTTAAAGACACCTCCGGGACAACTACAGAACACTAAGACTTACCTTCAGGACACTACAAGAACACACAAAGACACCTTCACGACGCTACAGAACACACCGAACGACACACTCCGACGCTTCTGGAACACAAGACACCTCAGGACGCTACAGAACACAAGACACCTATTCAGGACGCTACAGAAAACACAAGACACCTTCATGACGCTTCTAGAACACACAAAGACGCATTCAGGGACGCTGCAAAACACAAGACACCTTCATGTTCTGAGAACACAAGACACCTCCAGGGAAACTGCCAGAACGCCACAGAACACCTTCATGACGCTTCAGAACTACCACAAGACACCTTCATGAGCCTTCAGAACCCACAAAGACACCTTCCAGGGCGGCTACAGAACCACAAAGACACCTTCATGACGCTTCTAGAGAACACACCGAGACACCTTCAGGACCTTTACTGAAACCACCGAACACCTTCATGACGCTTCTGAACACACAAAGACTTACCTTCTGGCGACGCTTTGCAGAACACCACGGAACACAGCTTCAGGACGCTACAGAACAGACAGACACCTCCCAGGACGCTACAGAACACTGAACACCTTCCATGACGCTACAGAACACAAAGACACCTTCAGGACGCTACAGAACACACCGGGCTTGTACCCAACATGACGCTACCAGAACACACAAAGACACCTCCAGGACTTCTAGAACACACACAAAAGACACCTTCATGTGACTACAAACACAAGACACCTTCAGGACCTTCTAGAACACACACAAGACACCTCCAGGACGCTACAAAACACACAAGACACCTTCAGGACGCTTCTAGAACACAAAGACACCTTCATGGCCTTCTAGAACCTACAAGACGCAGCAGAAGCGCTACAGAACACACAGACACCTCAGGACGCTACTGAAACCCACACAAAGACACCTTCATGACGCTTCTAGAACACACCGACACCTTCAGGACGCTTTCTGAACACACAGACACCTTCGCGGCCTTTCTGAACACACACAAAGACACCTTCGCGCTACAGAACCACACACCGAACCACCTTCGGACGCTACCAAAACCTGAACACCTTCATGACGCTACAGAACTACAAAGACACCTGCATGACGGCTTGCTTCCCAGAACACACAAAGACACCTTCGGACACTTCACAAACCCACACAGAACCTTTTTCCAGGACGCTACAGAACACACAAGACACCTTCATGACGCTACAGAACACACAAGACACCTTCAGGACGCTACAGAACACACAAGACACCTTCATGACGCTACAGAACACAAGACACCTTCATGACGCTACAGAACACACAAGACACCTTCATGACCCTTCACAGAACACACAAAGAACCTTCAGGACGCTACAGAACACAAGACACCTTCATGACGCTACAGAACACACAAGACACCTTCAGGACGCTACAGAACACACAAGACACCTTCTGACGCTACAGAACACTAACACCTTCATGACCTTCAGAACACACAAAGACACCTTCAGGACGCTACAGAACACACAAGACACCTCCAGGACGCTACAGAACACACAAGACACCTTCATGACGCTACAGAACACAAAGACACCTTCATGACCACAGAACACACAAGACACCTTCATGACGCTACCAGAACACACCAAGACACCTTCGACGTTACAGAACGCACAAGACACCTTCAGGACGCTACAGAACGCACAAGACACCTCCGGGACGCTACAGAATGCACAAGATACCTTCAGGACGCTACAGAAACACACGAACACCTTCAGGACGCTACAGAACACACAAGACACCTCCAGGACTCTACAAAAGCCACAAGATACCTTCAGGACGCTTCAGAACACACAAGACACCTTCAGGACGCTACAGAACGCACAAGACACCTTCAGGACGCTACAGAACACACAAGACACCTCCATGACGCTACAGAACACACAAGATACCTTCATGACGCTACAGAACACAAGACACCTCCAGGACGCTACAGAACACACAAACAGACCTTCATGACGCTACAGAACACACAAGACACCTCCAAGGACGCTAAGCAGAACACACAAGACACCTCCAGGACGCTACAGAACACACAAGACACCTTCAGGGACGCTACAGAAAACACAAGACACCTTCTATGACGCTACAGAACACACAAGACACCTTCAGGACGCCACAGAACACACAAGACACCTTCATGACGCTATGAACACACAAGACACCTCCAGGAAAACTACAGAACATACAAGACACCTTCTCAAGGACGCTGCAGAACACACAAGACACCTTCAAGGACGCTACAGAACACACAAGACACCTTCAGGACGCTACAGAACACACAAGACACTCCCTTCATGACGCCACAGAACACAATAAGACACCTTCAGGACGCTGCGAACACAAGACACCTTCATGACGCTAAGCAGAACACACATTAAAGACAATCTTTCATGACGCTACAGAACACACAAGACACCTTCAGGACGCTACAGAAACAGACAAGACACCTCCAGGACGCTACAGCAGAACACACAAGACACCTTCATGACGCTACAGAACACACAAGACACCTTCAGGACGCTATGAACACACAAGACACCTCTTCATGACGCTACAGAACACACACAAGACACACTCCAGGACGCTATAGAACACACAAGACACTCTCTCTATGACGCTACAGAACACACAAGACACCTTTCAGGACGCTACAGAACACACAAGACACCTCCAGGACGCTGCTACAGAACACACAAGACACCTTCTTCAGGACGCTGCTACAGAACACATTAATTCCTTCATGACGCTAAGCAGAACACACAAGACACCTTCATGACGCTACAGAACACACAAGACACCTCTCCAGGACGCTACAGAACACACAAGACACCTTCAAGGACGCTACAGAACACACAAGACACTTCATAGGACGCTACAGAACACACAAGACACCTTCATACAGAACACACAAGACACCTTCATGACGCTACAGAACACACACAAGACACCTTCAGGACGCTACAGAAACACACAAGACACCTCATGACGCTGTTACAGAACACACAAGACACCTGCATGACGCTACAGAACACACAAGCACCTTCAGGACGCTAGAACACACAAGACAACCTTCTTATGACGCTACAGAACACAATAAGACACCTTCATGACGCTACAGAACACAATAAAGACACCTTCAGGACGCTACAGAACACACAAGACACCTTCATGACGCTACAGAACACACAAAGACACCAGGGACGCTACAGAACACACAAGACACCTCCAGGACGCTGCTACAGAACACACAAGACACCTCTATGACGCTACAGAAATTAATACAAGACACCTTCAGGACGCTACAGAACACACAAGACACCTTCATGACGCTACAGAACACAATAAAGACACTTCATGACGCTACAGAACACACAAGACACCTTCATGACGCTACAGAACACACACAAAGGACACCTTCTGGCACGCGCTACAGAACACACAAGACACCTTCATGACGCTACAGAACACACACAAGACACCTTCAGGACGCTACAGAACACACAAGACACTCAGCACGCTTACAGAACACACAAGACACCTTCATGACGCTACAGAACACACAAGACATACCTCTAGGACGCTACAGAACACACAAGACACCTCCAGACGCCACAGAACACACAAGACACTCTTCATGACGCTACAGAACACACAAGACACCTCAAGACGCTACAAGGAACCACAAGACACCTTCTATGACGCTAAGCAGAACACACAAGACATCTTCATGACGCTGGCGAACGCACAAGACACCTTCAGGACGCCACAGCAGAACGCACAAGACACCTCCGGGACGCTACAGAATGCACAAGATACCTCAGGACGCTACAGAACACATGACACCTTCAGACGCTACAGAACACACAAGACACCCTCCAGACTTCAAAACGCAATAAGATACCTTCAGGACGCTACAGAACGTACACAAGATACCTCTCAGACGCTGTTGAACGCAGCAAGACACCTCTCAGGACGCTACAGAACGCACAGGACACCTTCAGGACACCATACAATACAAAAAGCATCTGGATGCAATAGAATTCCCAGAACGCATACATGAATTAAATCATCACACACACACACACAGAGGTGGGGACAGTACTTGCTAGCGTGTATGAACTGCAACAACATGAGTCATCGGTCAGATTCTCCCAAACAACAACACGACAGATGTACGTCTGGCGAATCTTCTTAAGCGTGACTTTTTTATCATGTAGAGGTGAGCATACGTTCGCCTGACGTAACTTTCGGGTCAGAACACACAGGAGCTAGTGGGGGAAAGGGTGAGGGAGAGTGTGGGTGAGGTGGGCAGGGTGTGTGGGGTGTGAGGCAGGGGTGAGAGTGAGCAGGGTGAGAGTGAAGGAGGGAGAGTGTGGAGAGTGAGAGGTGGGGTGTGGGAGGTGAGGCAGGGTGAGGTGTGAGGCAGGGGTGAGGAGTGTGAGGCAGGGTGAGGGAGTGAGGCAGGTGAGGTGAAGCGGGGTGAGGTGAGGCAGGGTGAGGTGTGAGGGCAGGTGAGAGGTGGAAGCAGGGGTGAGGTGGGCGGGGTGGTGGAAGCAGGGGTGAGGAGGTGGAAGCAGGGTGAGGTGGGCAGGGTGGGGAGGTGGGGAGGGTGAGGTGGGGGAGGGTGAGGGAGAGTGGGGAGGGTGAGGGAGAGTGAGGAGGGGTGAGGAAGTGATGGAGAGGGTTGTTAATGGTCATAGTGGGGGCTTCGGAGTCACGTTGTGTTATCTTCTTTAGTTATCTCCTCCCACCTCCCTCTCCTCTCCTAACTCCCTTCCTCTCCCTCCGTCCAACTCCTCCTTACTCCCTTCCCTTCCCTCCCCTCCATCTCCTCCCCTAACTCACCCTTCCTCCATCACCCCTCTAACTCCTTAAACTCCTCCCCTAACTTTATCCTCCCTCCATCTCCTCCTAACTTCCTTCCCTCCTCCATCCTTTCTAACTCTCCCTAACTTCCTTCCTTCCCCTCCCTCCCTCCACCTCCTCCTTCCTTCCCTTCCCTCCACCATCTCTCTCCCCCCTACCCTACGTTTCTTGACACACTCGTATGGTGCCACCTGCCAACACTAACGGTACATTATGTCATCTGCCGCTACTGTTGTCACACATAACCACCTGTCAACAGTGCCAGACTTGCCCTACATACGGTGCCACTGTCAACAGTGCCAGACTGCCTACACATACGGTGCCATCTGCAACAGTGCCAGACTTGCCCTAACATACAGTGCCACCTGCCAACTGAACCATAACACATGGTGCCACCTGCCAACAGTGCCAGACTTGCCCCTACACATACGGTGCCACCTGCCAACAGTGCCAGACTTGCCTGCTCACACAGTGCCACCTGCCAACAGTGCCAGACTTGCTTACATACGGTGCCACCTGCCAACAGTGCCAGACTTGCCATAACACATACGGTGCACCTGCCAACAGTGCCAGACTTGCCTAACACATACGGTGCCACCTGCCAACAGTGCCAGACTGCAAACACATACGGTGCCACCTGCCAACAATGCCAGACTTGCCCTAACACATACGGTGCCACCTGCCAACAGTGCCAGACTTGCCATAACACATACGGTGCCACCAAGATAAGACACTCTACACATACAGTGCCACCTGCCAACAGTCCATGGCACCTAACACATGCAGTGCCACCTGCCAACAATTACCAGACTTCTAACCTACAGTGCCACCTGCCAACAGTGCCAGACTTGCCCTAACACATCCGGTGCCACCTGCCAACAGTGCCAGACTTGCCCACACCGGTGCCCTGCCAGCCGAGTGCTACATCATCTGGGGGCAGCAGCCCCTCAGTGTCTTATATATTGGGCGCAGGGCCCGACAGACCTTGGGGACACCTGCGGGATCTGACGACGATCCTGTAGGGCGGGAGACACCAGCGGCCACACTACCCGACAGGAGGATGGCCACATACCACCAGCCGCTAAGAAGATGGCCACAATAGCCGACAGGAGGATCAGCCCACCTCCGACAGCAGGATGGCCGCACCCCGACAGGAGGATGGCCACACATACACCAGCCGCTAAGAAGATGCACAGTAGCCGACAGGAGGATACTGCACTACTCGACAGCAGGATGGCCACTGCAAACGGAGGATACCCCGACAGGAGGATGGCCGCACACCACCTGACAGGAGGATGGCGCCACCCGACAGGAGGATGGCCGCACTACCTGACAGGATGGCCGCACTACCGACAGGAGGATGGCCGCACACCTACCCGACAGGAGA